TGTACAGTTGTACAGTTGCCACATTATAGGAAAGATGTAAATACAGTAAAGAGTGCAGAAGCAATTTACAACAATGGTTCCAGGAATTAGAAACTTCAGTGTCGAGGATAGATTGGAGAGAAAAAGGTTAAGAGGAGATTCAGTAGAGATTTTCAAAATCATCAGTGGGCTGGACAGATTAGTTAGAGAGAAGCTATTCTGCCCACCAAAGTGGTAAAAAAGGGCATAGATTTAAAGTGACGTGTAAATGAAGCAAGAGTGATGTGAGGAAAAGGATTTTTCACATTGCAAGTAGTCAGTGTATGGAATTTTTTCTGAAGAAGGGTCTCGACCCAAAACGTCAGCTTTCCTGCTCCTCTGATGCTGCTTGGCCTGCTGTGTTCATCCAGCTCTACACCTTGTTATCTCAGATTCTCCAGCATCAGCAGTTCCTACTATCTCACCCAGAGGAAAGCCCTGTTTTGCAGACATGGGGAGAATGTGCAAACTCCACACAGACAGTCACCTGAAAGTGGAATCAAACTGGGCTTCCAGGTGCTGTGAGGCAGCAGTAGTCACCACTGAGCTACTGGGCTGCTCTTCTTCAGTGACCCTTTCTCAGAACTGCCAGAAATTTACAGAACATTTTGGAAGTGACAGAGAACACTGCATTGTCTCCTTAAGAACTTCCAACTGTGTTTCATGAAATACAGTGAGGAGCTTATGGTCCTCCAATGGTAAATGTTGCTGTCCGGCCCGACGTCCAATAATAGGTCAGTGACTTTGCTGAATAACAAATGAAGAATTTCATCAGGGTGATAAAACTTTCCATTCAAAATATGGTACAGAGGAATTCCAGAATAATAAATGGAACTGTACATAAAAATAGTCGATAATGGATGAAGCAGGAACCCTTCTACAATACAACCGTACATCTTGCACACTCTCTCTGAACTAGGATCTCTCTCTGAACGGCAGTGAAAAATATACAGCAATGGCCAAAATCTACCAGCCTCTGTTAAAGAATGTAATTTACTTCACCACTTCTGCTTACCTAGGCGCTGCGCAGTCATTCACGCGTGTTATATTGATGCAGCATCTCTGAGTGCTGATGTATAGTGCTGAACTGAAAGCTGAGAAACCTGCAGGAGTGTTCAGTCTTAATGAAAAGGAATCCCCAGCTAGTGGCTTGTGTTAGTCAAATGCCTTCAGGATGTAGAGGGAAGGTAATGACCATATCTTTA